TTTCATATGACGCGATTTCTCGAGTGAGCCATGGACTGTCTCTTAAGATATGCTTGTAGAAAAATTCTTAGTACAATACATTAATAACAGATGATCGGAAAGTTTTTAAACAAGATATTTGTTCATTTTGAATCCGCTAGAAAGTATTTCCGACGAGTCAAAAGCTATAAGTTTGTGGTGTTTTCGAATATGGGTTTAGAAATGTTATCTGAGTTTTTTTTTCGAGAATGGTGAAATCATCTTTGAAAAGCCGAAAAAATTAGTTTGGATAGAAAATTGTTGTATCTAAAAGTTGTAATCTTTATTTATACATGAGCTTGTCGATCAGAAGCTACCCTACAAAACGATCGACTTCGACAATTTTCAGCATGTTCGAAAAGGGACTTGTAGGATAAACAAAAACTTGTTGGCTTATCATTAAAAATAATTTTACAGGTCTTTCAAAAAGTCGCTCACTACTCTTGAATAAAAATATACACAATATTTCTAAGTCCATATCCAAATCCTGGTCACGACCTATAGTTTTTGGTTCGTCTGAAATGTTTTCAAGCAAGTCAAAATGAACAAACATGTTCACTAGAAACGTCAGCCCACAAGTTTCATTCAAACTAAGTTTTTGGGGCATTTCAAAGATTATTTCACTACTGTCGAACAAAATTTCTAAAACTAATATTCGAAAAAAACATCCTAACTCATAGTTTCTGACTCGTCGAAAATACTTTTGATCGGGTCAAAAGTAAACAAACATCTTGTCTAAAAATTTTCCGAACATTTGATTGTAATTTGAACTTATGTCAAATATAATTCTTATTATTTTGTGTTTTAGTTAAAAACACGTGGATCTAGTACTGAAATTCAACAAAAATTGCCATGCCCAGGTGCAAAAATCGTACGAGGATCATATAAGATCTTATACAATCTTACTGACAATTAGATTTTGTACGATTCAGATTGTATGATCTTACAAAATCTTGCAAATTTCTTGTTCTAAGATTTAATATGATTCTTATTATAAGATGCTAGCGTCAATCTTATATGATTCTTGATATAAGATTCTTGCAAGATCTGAGGATGGGAGTCTTGTAAGATATTGTAGGATCTTGTCAGACCATAATTTTAAGATATTTCTCATGCAAACTAGTTTTTATAACGATAGGTTTATAGATGTGGATTACTACACGTGTTTAAGTGATGGAATGCTTCCTAATAGAAATATAATTTCTTTTTAAATTGCAAATACACGTTTTGTATACAGCGATGCTTATTATAAAAACAGCACACTACTAATCAATTTGATTTGACTTGATTAAGTTTATTATTGTTTTGAATTTTATCTCGTTAAATTCATTTTATCGTTTATTCTTATTGAAAAAAACATTTTTTGTATTTGTTTGTAAAACTGTAATTAATAATAATTCTCTAGTGTAGAGGACATGTAAGCTGACAATGGCTAATATATACTATATATATGAGCGAGAAACCGTTACATTCGTCTTATATTCTGGTATGGTGGAAGAAATTGCACGTCATATATTTTTTCAAAAATACAACCAGGCTTTTTATATTAATTTATAATTCTTCAAAATTATCCAGTTTTGTTTTAGATATTTGAAATTCGTATCGATCTTATTTAGTCTTTGTGGTTTCATCGACTGAATTTCGATATTTCTGGTTTATTTTGACTCAAACTAATGATGAAAAATATTATTTTATTTTACTTTCAATCAATGTGAAAGGAGTTAGTTTCATTTGATGTATATGCTTAACTTATTTCAGTTAAGATATAATTAATCTAAGAAGATTATCTACTTATAGTCAAAGTAAAATGAAAGCAATTTAATACAACTATACTTGTTTTACAACAAAATAGGTTCATTTTCATAAGATTATTTATTTAATAGTCTGGGAAAATAAAATAAATTCAAAGTGAAGAGATTAATCTTACTTGAAATAAAGTTAAACTAATGGAATTATTGCATTTATATTTTTTTAATGCAAAATTAATATTCAATTTGATAATGTTATTTAGAATTTACATTATATGGAACTAAATTAACCTAATTTTATCATTTTATTTTATTTCGATTGAAATAAAATTAACATACTAGATTTTTTCTACAATTAAATTAAATTATTTTATCTGATCATTCCAACTAACACAAAATAAATATAATAAAATTATTCATTAATGATTAAAATAAAATCAAGGAAATCTTATCCAATATAATTTGGTTAAATCCGTTTTCCAAACTACAACGCTGTAATTAATTAAGTCAATTTCAATATCGAACTCTACTCTATATACTGGGGGTCGATTATTCGAGGACGAGCTTAAAATTAACATCAAACCGAACTGTGATCTGTTTTCGATAAAACTACGCATTACTCATTGCATGTTTTCATGTGGAAATGATAAATATTTTTTTTATTTAAAAATAAATTTAGTCTGAGACGAAGTAAAATGATAAAAATTTCGCGATAAATGTTTTCTCTTGAAACAAAGAGTTTGAAGAAGGTAACTCAGCCTGTTGAAAAATTAGGTAGAGGTGATGAAAAGTGCAAGAATATCAATCATGCGATGCATCCTATAGTTGTATAGAAGCATGTATGAATAATGCAAGATCTTATCAGATCATACAATAAGATCATATAAGAATCGTACAGTACGATATAATCAGATGTGCAGGCTTTATGACTATCTTATAAAAATCATACAAGATCGTATATGACTTTCATACGATCTTATATGATCATATAAGATTTCACAGTAAGATCTTGTAAGGTATTGCAATATCGCACAAGATCTTATTGTCGGATTCTTCGACCTGGGTGGCGTTTACGTATATTTGAACGTTTTCCTGATCATCCTCAAATGATTGAATTATCACACTTACCACATGATTTTATAATTCCGAAAATTCGTAATAGTTTTATGAGTCAATTTCTTAATCAAGATAATATTTATTCATATTCACCTGAACTTTCAATGAATATATATAATAAAAAACGTACAGTTAGAACATTACATAAGCCAGAATATCGACCAATAGGTGAAACTATGAAACGAACAGCTGTAAACAATATTATCAGGTTTATATAGATTATTTTTGTTATTGTACATAATTAGAAGAATATTATAGAGATGCAAGTAATCAACGTTTATTAAGTGGTGATGCTAGTCAAGTAAATTTAGCAAGCATATTTGATAATAAATTATCAATATTCGCCCAAAAAAATAAAATTGGACTTGATCGAAAGTAAAGTAAAAAACGAAAACAAATCATTTATTGATTTAATTTTTTCATTGAACTTTTTTCTTAATATTTCAATAGAAATTCCATGCGTCGTTCAGATTATCGATTAAAACCAGTACATTTTATACGTGAAAATGGAGATATTGATGTATTACATGGTCGAAGTCAAGATGTTTATGATATCAAAGTATTTCAATATCGAAAACAACAAGCTGAATTAAAAGGGTAAATAAGCTATTACTGGCAATACGAGACATATCCATCTTTCATTTGATTTTGATTCTTTACAAGAGTTATTTTTTCTCAATAAATTCTTTTAACATTGACATATGTAAAAATGTTGGCATTTTCAGCTGACTATTTATTAACAAGTAATTAGTAAATAACAGGATTGGATTCGAAAAAAATCTTCCTCATAAAAACTGGTTTTCTAGAGATCTTGTCAGATTATAAAAACAAAAATGTTTTTTTTATCATTATCTAGAGATTTTGAAGAAGAGTTTTGATTGTTTGAAATCAAAATTTTGAACTTCTCATTCAGTGATAAGAGAATTTTTTATGGTTTGTATATTCGTACTCTGTCACATCGCTAAAGAAAAGTGAACCAATTTTTTTGGAAAAATTTAGGCATGCTCAATAAAATGTTTTTCATAGAGGTTTTCTAGCTTCAGGAGTTGTTAATAGAATGTACTATTTAGTGCTGTCTCAATTCGAAATTCTTTTATGCTACAATTCATCAAATGAGAGCCTAAGCCCTGTTTTTTGTATCATGTCATTAACCCTAGTTTTTTTTACTGGTAACTCCTCTGAGCAAAGGTCTCGAGCAAATTGATTTCTTTAGGATACCAAGAGTAACTTAACATACATGTAACATATATAAAAATTAGCTCTAGGAAAGATCATGATGCCGAAACACACGTGTTTTATTTTTGTGAAGTCATGTTGTTAACGAATGATTTTGTCCATATATATATATATATGAAAAGATATGATTTTGAGATACATGAATTATGTATTCTTTTGCTTAGAAATCAACAGGAAGAAGATCTTCGTGAAAATCATCCATATTTTGATAAACCATTATTTATGATCGCACGGGAAAGTAATTTTCGAAAATTTTGTCAACTTTTTGTCGAAGCTCGTTATAATGCTAATACTAAAGATTATCTTGGACAAGAATCAAAAATTAGTCGATATAAACAAGGACAGTAAGTCTTTTTGTTTTATTTTTTCTAAATCTATCAAGTATTTTATTCTAGTAAATTTCTTGGCTTAGTTACATATCTTGATTGGATTATGATATTTGTAACAATATTATCAACAGTTAGTATGTCATTTGAAACACCTGTTAATAGAATTGTTGATCAACCTTTATTACAAGTATATAACTGATTATTATTTTTATTTTTCTTAATATTTATTTATTCATTTTCTTTTTCTGTAGATAGCGGAATATATGTTTGTTATTTTTATGAGTTTTGAATTAACATTAAAAATTTTTGCACATGGTTTATTTTTTACACCAAAAGCATTAATTCGAGATATTGGTGGAGCTATTGATGTAGCAGTTTTTTTTGTTGGTCTGATATTTCTCTGTTGGTTACCACGAAATGTTCCAGTGAATAGTGTTGCTCAATTTCTTATGCTTCTTCGATCAACGCGACCTTTACGAATTTTTATTTTGATACCTGATGTGAGAAACGTTGTCTATGAAGTTTGTCGAGGATTTAAAGAAATTCTATTGGTAAGACTTAAAAAATTACTTTTTTGACAATGCCTTTGTCCATCACAACTTTTGATAAGCTTAGCTACAGAAAATGAAAAACATCTTTCATCAAGGACATATCAGTATGCTGGAATTTCCAAACTGAAGTTTTTAGAGATGCAAGCTATACAGATCAATCGTGTTTCATAATTTAATTTCACAGAGATTGTAAGAATAGGAAGAAGGATGATGGCAAATCTTTTTATGCTATTCAGATAAAATACAGTTAATGATTTTTATTTCCAACTCATATTTTGAACTGTATGGAGCTAGTACAGTTCAGACATTATGGGTTCACTCACTTTATTGAAAATATTGCTTGAACACGTAAACTTAGTAACTGAAGGCGATGAAAACTTTGGAAAGCTTTTCATAATACTTCAAGTCATTCACAATGTAGCACCCAACATTTAGTCATAGAAAATTGAATGTTTTCTAAGTGTACTGACGTACGAAAATGTTGACGTTTGTATAAAATTCTCGATGCATTACATAAATCTATCAATTTGATGGAACGAGAAACCAATATTTAAGCTTACTCAAGCCTTGTGGCTAGAGCCCGTCGGGTTAGTCTTGGGTCCGATAGGCCCTAGTCGTCTGAGCAATGTGTAGCTTGCACTAGTCACAAAATACGAAAAACCGGAAAAAAAAGTATGTCGTATTTTCGAGATGACTATCTAATTTCGATTAAAAAATTTCATTGAGCGTATCAAAGTACGGTTCGACCGGGTTCGAGTCCGAAAAATTCCAATTAACAGACTCTACTTGTGTCTCTGCTACTTATGATACTGAAAGTTTTCATCGAATAATTGAGTAGATTTATCACAATAGAAATGAAATAATGATTGATTCATTGTATTCAATAACTCAATTAATCTTCAGTATAACAAGAAGGAATTGAGTAGCTATCGGAAGATGTTTCTTTAAGATTTCTCTATTCTCATCCGATCTATATTCAAACTTTTACAACAAAATTTCTGAGACAAATTTTATTCATTATGTCAAGAGAAATCAACCGTAAAGTAATAAAATAGAAACAAAAATAAAATCAATTTATAATATTAGAATTTCTATTTCAAATTTTACATTTTGTTATCTCTCTAGGTATCGATTTTACTCATTGTATTGATGTTTATGTTTGCTATTTATGGTGTTCAAATCATTGGTGGACGATTAGCTCGTTGTAATGATATAGCTTTTTTTAATGATCAAGTATGTTAAATCAAAATATTTTCATTATTGAATTAAAATAATAATAATTTCTAGAAATCATGTCATGGAACATTTTGGAGGAAACTTTATGTATCAAAAATGAATGTTAGTAATGATGATCCAGTTATGTTAGTACCACGTGTATGGTATGTTATTGAATTTTTTTTTTTTTTTTTTTTTTGAAGATAAATTATTTTATAGGGCTAATCCACATAATTTTAATTTTGATTATATCGGTAGTGCTATGTTAGCTCTTTTTGAAGTTCTATCACTTGAAGGATGGCTTGATATACGTGATATTATTATGGAACGTATGGGTCCAGTAAGTATCATTATTTTTTTTGTTTTTATTTATTTCATAGAAAAAATTTCTTAGGAACATGTTATATTTGTTCATATATTTGTATTTATTGGTACACTAATTGGTTTAACTCTATCTGTTGGTGTTGTTATTGCAAATTATTCAGAAAATAAGGTTGTTTTTTTTTCTGAATAATTAATAAATTTTGTTTTTGAATTATATATTTTCGAGGGAACGGCTTTATTAACAGTTGGTCAACGTCGTTGGATGGATTTAAAAGGTCGTATAAAACTTGCTCAACCATTAAATAGACCACCTCGACCAGAAAATAACAAATTTCGTTCATATGTATTTGATATAACACAAAATCGATTATTTAAAAAATCTTCTGCCGTACTTGTTCTACTTAACTGTGCATTACTTTATAAACCATGGAAAGTTAATGAACAAATAACACAAATATCAGCATTAACATCATCTTTATTTACATTTTTGTTTCTTGTTGAAGCTGTTATGAAATGTATTGCACTTGGTTTTGTTGGTTATTGGCAATCATGTCGTAATCGTTTTGATTTATTAGTTACTATACTTGGTATTGGTTGGATTGTATTAAATTTTATTTCTATTAGCAAAATTGAACTTGTAAGAAAAACAACAAAAATTGTTTTCATATAAATAAAATGAAATTTTTGTTTTTTATTATTCTAGCAAGAATTTAGTAATACATTTGGATTTACTGTCATTATACTTCGGTTTTTTACTATTGTTGGAAAACATGTAAGTAAAAAACAAAGCTATGATTTAAGTAGTCAGTAAAATATAGATGAAATGGTCAGTAATTGAATTATCAGTTTTTAATGCAAAAGGGAAACAGCAGAATCTTGAATTCCTAAGGACTCCTAGTAAACTCTCATGAGTCTATCAAAAGATGCCATGCGCGTTACAAAAACGTCCCACACTGATATGTCTTCTTCCTTTATTCCACTCGTTTGTAGTCATTGATATATGTATATATCGATCGCTCATTAGTTGTATTGAATTGTATCATTTCTCCTGCAAGACTTGTAATTGAGTTGAGTTCTTCATTTATTTATCAATAAATCCAGATTGATTTATTCTATTAGAACTCGCCATATATAATCGTATCACTGAGTTTCATTTATTAAAGACTTAGATTCTATAAAATTTTGCTCTTTTTCTCTTGATTTAATTTTAACATGGTCGGTTTATTATATATACAAAAAACAAAGTTATATCAGTGAGAAATGCGAATTCAATCAGAAAAAAAATTCAGACTGACTCACTGCAAAGAATAGAAATTATTAGCAGAATTTTTTTGTTTATCCAGATAAAATAGGGTATAACTATGGGTATAAATGAATTTTCATTTCATTCATATCTATACTCCACGATGCTTGACTTTGTTACATTTGTAATAAATTGTTCTCATATTTTCTGCACTAACAACATTACCAAATGTAGCTTTGTCAATGCAATGTTTTTAGTTTTTATTTTCTTGGCAACGTCTTTTGTTTCTATTTATTTCATTATTTTCTTGTACAACCATTACTTTTATATTGTGCAACTTGTACAATGTCCATCTTTTTTACTCATCTTTGATAGCATCTACACTAAATGCACGATACAAAGAAACAAAGAAAAGAAGAAAAAACAAAGTGAATCACACTATAACGTAGTTTTCTTTTTTATATTTACCCTTTCATTTAATTGAATGTTAGTAAATTTTATGTATTGATCTTTAAATCTATTAACGGAGCTGATTTATCACTAATTGGCTATTTCATCTATTTTACTGACCAAATAGTTTGTTCCCCCAAAAAACTGTAACATTTTTTTTCTTTTGTTTTCTCAGGCAACACTTAAAATACTTATGTTAACTATTATTGTATCATTCTTTAAATCATTTTTTATTATTCTTGGCATGTTTTTACTTATGTTAGTATATGCCTTGGCTGGTGTTATACTATTTGGTTGTGTTAAATTTGGTCTTGAACTTGGACGACATGCTAATTTTAAAACAGTACCTAATGCAATTGTTCTACTAATGAGAATTGTTACTGGTGAAGATTGGAATAAAATAATGCATGATTGTATGGTTGCACCACCACGATGTACACGTGGTGGTTCCTATTGGGAAAGTGATTGTGGAAATTCAACAGCTTCTATACTTTATTTTTGTTCGTTTTATATTATAATTACTTATATCGTATTAAATCTTCTGGTGGCTATTAGTATGGAAAATTTTTCATTATTCTATTCAAGTGAAGAAGATCCATTACTTAGTTATACTGATATTCGTCATTTTCAAACAGTTTGGAATATGATTGATACAGAACGTAAAGGTATTATACCAGTTCGACGTGTAAAATTTTTATTAAGATCACTTCGAGTAAATATAAATTAAATATTTAATTTAATAATATAAATCTATAAATCTATATATGTATAATGTATTTTATAGGGAAGATTGGAAGTAGATGCAAAAAAACTCTATAAACATATGTGTTATGAAATTGAAAAATTAAATAATGGTAATGATGTAACATTTCATGATGTACTTAAGTAAATATAAAATTAATTTTAATTTTTTTATGTCGTCAATTTTTATGCAAGACGATCTATGAACTACAGAGTATTCCAAAAGTTTGCTACAAAATAAAATTTGAATAACTCTTCTGCAATTCAATTAAATTACATATTTCTTTTACGATTTGATTCCATACTCACCAAAGTTTTATTCAGCATATTTTATATAAAATGACTGTACACCTACGAAGATTAGAATAAAAATTGTTTTGTTAGTGGATAACTTTGAGTTATTGAAGATTGTGAAACAAAATTTGCGCATAAAACTGGACAAAGAAATGTCAAATAAACATAGTATTAAGGAATTCTCTCGATAACGCCTTACAGTAACAACACAAGAAAGCATCGCTGAAGTACATGTTGATAGCAAAAATGTATGAACATCAAATGTTGCATCTGATTGCAAAGTTTATTTAATAGCATATTGAATCCTGCCAGAGCTGAGTAAATGATTCAACAAAGTGAGATTTCGTCTGATTTTAACGATTAAGTACATCAATGTCAGAGTTACATTTTTTCCTATCACGACGAATTTCGAGAGAAGGTTTTATTTGATGAACTCTATATTCATATCACCTTAGTGCGATTCGAACTTTTTTTATGCAAACACATAAAAGACGATGTCTATTAAAGATAACATTGAAATAACAATAAGAATCAGTAGCAAAAATAAAACGATTTCATAGAAAATTCTATAGAATGTTATTTTTCAAATATTTGACAACAGTGAAATTGCGTGTTTCAATTGAGTCCATAGGCAGCGAAATGTTTTGACTCTAGGATCGGCTCAACATTTGTTATAAGATCCTCATCTAGAAGTTAAAAATGACAGAAGAAAGGTTTTTGAATACCACTTAGATAGAATACAATCAGTGTCTGCTATCAAATTCACATTTTGCAACGTGTAACAGTGATGCAGATTAGAAAAAAATTTGCAACTTGCATAAAAAAATAGGAATTTGAAAAAACATGCGACGTTCGAAAGAGGATATTCT